CGCTGTACATCTTAAGTTCAAACCCAAAGTAGACATTGTTATCATCTCCTGTTACCTTCCTCATGACCGAGACCCAAGAAAGTATGCCGTCAAATCGCTCAAGAATTTCATTAAAGAACACTCCAGCAAGCACATGATTCTTACAGGAGATTTCAACACATATCCAGCATATGCTACACATATTAATGCCTTAACATCAACACACAAGAGACATATATATCGCTATCTCAATAAATTCATCGACGTAGCTAAAGTAGTGAACAAAGAAGAACAATATACACACTTCACCAACAACAGTGCCTCCAGGATAGACCAAATGTGGATCACCAGCAACTTAGCAAGCAAAATTCTTTTCTACAAAGTGCATGAGCAAATATCTATCAGCTCCGACCACAAACAAGTAACAACCATCTTGGACTGGTTTGAATACAAGCCTAACAGAGTCTGCTTCAACACTAATGTCTATCAATTCAAAGAGGCCAGCCCAGAGAATATCAAAGCCTTTCAAGAGGACATTGAACTAGCGTGCCACACCATCAATATTCCAACATGGGAATCTATGAACAACATAATCAAAAATTCCCTCGACAACAATATCCCAAAAAGATCAAACACAGTTCCCGCTCGAAACATTGACCCTTTAAAACACTACACCAGAGCCATAAAAGCCACAAAAAAGGCAATCAACGAAAGCAAAAATAATTACAACAATAATCCTTCTCTTAAACTTCCAAAAGTCGCATCTGCAGCTCTTCAAAAAATTACTGACAAACCTCCATGTACCAAAGACCTCAAAAAGCTATTAAAAATTCTGATCAAAGAAAAATTAGCTAAACTCAATGAAATAATCACCCAAGAAATACAAAAAGGAATAGAATCAAATTATCACAGATTTTGGACCAGGCCAAAAAACACTCTCAAAAAAGCACTAGGCGACCTTAAGCCTTTCCTTGACCTCTCAATACTCATGGGCAATGACAATGAACTTCATGATGATCCAGACGAGCTCGCAGCGATCATCCTCAACCACTTTAAGAAAATCTTAGACCCTAAACCTTTCTCTCCAGACAATGAGTAGGACACCTTCTACAAACCACTCAATCATATTCCAAACAACGCTTTTGATGATCTCACACTGCCAATCTCAGATTTAGAAATGGAGGAAGCATTCGCCAACTTGCCCAAATGAAAGGCACCTGGCCTTACCCTCATTCCATATGAAGTCTGGACCCACATTAGCACAACGGCAAAAAAACACCTAAGAACTTTGTTTAACAGCTCGTTATCATCAAGTCAAGTTCCTAAATTCTGGAAGCAATCAGCGATTACCCTATTACCAAAAAAGCTCGTCTGGTCACATGACCTCACAGATACACGTCCAATCTCCCTTATTGAGACAAGCAGAAAGATCTTCACAAAAATAATCAACAACAGACTTGCCATCAAGATTTTGAAATACAAAGCCATTTCAGAATCCAACTATGCAGGACTGAAGAACCAGAGTACCACCGAGCCAATTTCAATAATTACCTCAAGCATTAACACAGCAAACAACCTTAACAAAGAAATCTGGGTCGCATCATTCGACATCTCCAAAGCCTTTGATTCTGTAAACCTACCCAGCCTCAAAAAAGCTTCAGAACGGATCAAACTTCCAGCAAAAATCAATTCATTAATCCTTAATCTTCTAAACGAAAGAGAACTTAAAATAATAACATATTATAATCTCTCCAATCCCCTCACAGTTAGCAAAGGACTTGACCAAGGCGAAACACTATCCCCCCTACTATGGACCATCTTTTATGACCCTATGGTTACAAGAATAGCCTCGAAATATTCAGCAACCTCCAAAATCCTTGCCTATATGGACGATGTCGCTCTTACCAGTTCAAACATGCAATCCCTACAAGAGATAACAAATATCTTTTGCTCCTTTCTACTTCTAAACTCTATCAAATGCAACCAAAAGAAAACAGAACTAATCACCAACCTTAAAACAAGAAATCAAAAAAGAGACCAATTCCTAACTGTCGAGGGAGAAAAGATTTTTCCAAGACCATACAAAGAAGGTATTAGATACTTAGGCGTCTACCTATCAGGAAAATCCACATCCTCTGCCACAAAAGATAAACTCTTAGAAAAAATACAAAAGTTCACCAATGCCATTGCCTCACAAAAAGGCTGGAACGGTTTAATAACCAGACAAGCCTCCCACTGGATCATTCCAGCTCAACTAGATTACACAATCAATGTCTTGGTTCCCACAGAAAGAGAGATAGCTACCCTTCAGAGACAAATGAACAAACCTATCAAAGCAAAACTTGGAGTCGAACGTACTATCTCCAACAAAATTCTATACTCACATGCAGGCCTTAACATAGTTAACCTTCAAAATCGCCGGGACCTGACCACTATTAAAATCCTCACTATCAAATTTACTAATTACAAAATCTTTCCATTCACTTCAAAAGAGATCACATCGATACAAGCCGCACAAGCAATCTGGTGCTGCCCAATCTGCTTTCCTTATTACTTTGAAGAGTCATGGATTATCTCTGCCGCCATTCTAGCAAAAAGATATAAGATCAGAATTTGTCCGTTTCCCTGCCCTTTTAACATAAACAACCATGAGCACTCGATAGGGCTAACTACCAAACTCAAGAAATCTGCCACTCTCTCCTTATATTACACTAATATCAAAACCATCAACAACACCTATATCTATAAGCGTAATACCAAGCTTTCATAGGAAGAATTGCATACACACAGAGGATATATAACACCTGGCTCAATTTCCACATGGTTTTCCTCCATTCCAAACACATCTTTAACAATCAAGGGCGATTCAACTTTCCTTCCCAAAAGAACCAACATCAAATTTTGGGCCTTCCTATACAATAGTTCTATTAATCTCATTAAAGTTCGTATAAATGCCATCTCTTCATCAACCACCAGAGGCCAACACCACCAGCTGGACAACAAGAGAATAGTTCCTTGCTCATGCCCATCACAACCATGCATCAAAGAAATAAATACCATTGACCTCAAATCTGTTTGGCATACAATGCGTACAAACTCAGCTTATCTTCTTAACAACACCCAGGAACTCTTGGACTCTTTTTTAGTCACACCACAAACAAATCCACAAATAACAATAACACCCCCATCTTCGATCAATCAATCTATCACTATAATTATTCACCATAACAAAAATAATAACACCCTGTCAGTTTCCAAACCCACCAATACTTCAACCTATACTCTGCACCCCAAAGTCTGGAGTATCTTTTGGCCAGTACTTCACCAAGTTATTAATGACTCTTCATCTCTCTCAACACTCAAAATCTATCTCAACAAAATTCCCGACTTGAAAATCTCAGATTACTCAAACAGACTAGTTAAAATCCCCTATAGTAGATTCATCACCGAATGTAACACCCTTGCAGCAACAAAAAAGATCAACACTATATGGTATAAACTAAAAGACTATCAACCACCACCCGCAACTCCTCCCACAGTCAACATGTCAATCCCCCAATGCTTTCCACTCACGTTCACAACCTCACCTCTAATCAACAATACTCACGCCACAAGTATTACCCACTGGGTCAAATTCATAAATTACTATACCAACTTATTTAATATTCTTCTCAGTCAATCAGCAATCTACAAACCCACATCCTTCGAGGAACTGGAAACCATCACCAAAGCAAACAACAAATTAAAAGCTCTTGATCAAATCAAATATAGAGCATTATCAACATTCAGAACAAAACTCCTTGCAAATCAACTTCCAACCAGAACCAAACTTCACAAACGATACCCCAGCCTTTATCCTGACAATTTGTGCCCAAGATGTGATACACACCCCGAGGACTTGCCTCACATTTTTTCCTGCACCTACAACAAACCTCTAATCAACAAAAAGAAAACCAAACTCGAAAACCTCATTCTAGATCTGAATCCCAAAAGCATTAAAATTACTGATTTCGTTGGCATATTTAAGCTAACAGATAAGAATCTACTAAACCTAGCTACTGGCAAATTCAATCCTCCATTTAACCTTCTTCAGAAAAAAGAAGACATTTCCAATTATACCCTATACAAGGCTTGGAAAGCACGATCTGCTACAGCAACTACATCACCAGCATCTGGCATAAAATGGAAAAAAACCCCTACAGGAAAACCACCAAATACGGACCCCAATGGCAATTCAACATTCAATGCAATTTTAAATTTATTAAATATATCACATAACTATACTGACAAGTCAGTCTTCACACCCACAGTAATATCATCGTTCTGAACAGGCATTAGCCATTCAGCACTATTGCTGCAAGCCCACTTCCGTAGTGGTACCTGGTTTCAATAGATTTGTTGCGATAGGCTACAATTAATTTACGTTGTAAAGATTGTTAATGTAATGACAGTAAATATCTAATATTTAAATAAAGTCTCGCATTTAATGCTTGTTCGTGATAAAAAAAAAAAAAGATTTGTGTAGTAAAAAAACAAAAGACAAAAAAATAATGTTAGATACTGTAGTATCAACTGTTTGTAAGTTTGTTATAGTATATTTAAAATTTAAGTATTTTTAAGAAACTATGTTGGATTTTATAGAAATTCATATCAGATCAAATTATTGTTAATTATTGTTTATTTTATGATACATTATATTAAATCCTGGTACAAAATCATAAAAAATAAAAGAATTACAGTACTACAATAATAATTATTCGCGGGTAATTTGTTTCATTTAAGCAATTTCTTATTTAAGCAATTTATTAAGCAAGTGATTTCATACTGTAACTGATGGTTTTAAATTGGAAATACTGTATTTAAATAAACAAGAATTACAAATAAATAAATAAAATCGTGATACTGTAATCTGATTTATCCTACTTAAAATTTTATCATTTAAAGATCGCCGACCAGGTGTTGCGTTCTTTTTGGGAGACGGTGTAAGTTTCGCGTGATACGTTACTTGCCACAATGATCCCTCATCGATAAACTTCATCCGTTCCATCTTGTCGCTGAATGGCCATAAGATGACTCCTCGCTTTATCAAAATCCCATGAGCTCCATAAACGAGACGAATCTGTATTCCTGGTTTGTTTTGACAGATACAAAGAGGAGTCAGAAGATAAGAAAGGTGAATGATAAATCGACATTGAGATCGTGTTTTTTTTTTTTATTTATTCGTGGTGTTATACAAACCCATTAAAAGATTTGTTATCGATTTACGTATTCTTTATGATACTATGTCTAGTGACAGGAATTGATGAAATGTTTGTTACAGTATAATCCTATATTCACATCCTCTAACTTTGTAAATACTCGAGGGACCGTTATCAATTTATGATACTTCTTATAAAAGGAAGGTACGAGTTTATCGTATAAAATCTTAAATTAGTTTGTTTCTACACTTATGAAGTGTAAGACATCGGCTTCCTATGTATTTTTCCGATGTCAAACGAACAACATCCTATTTGTATACTCTCCTTTTATTAGCTACAATCATTTTATTAATAAAAAAATCTTAGACAATTCATGAATTTTTTTTACTTTTAGGATGAGGTGAGTAGAAAATCAAGTGGTGATAAAATAACAATGATATTACAGTACTGTAATTACTGTAAAAATAAGTGCGATTCTAAACAATTATAACATCACATGCAGTAAAAAACATGTAATACTAATTTGTTTCTACCCACTTTAAAATCCAATCTCTGGCTTTTTTCAAAACATCGTCAACCTCTTTTTCATTAACTAATTTCCTCAGTGCTTTATTAGCTTTTTCCCAACACATCTCACACTCATCTTTAAATTGCCCAAACATCACAACCTCCAAATATTCGATTGCTAATGCAGTGCACAAAATTTTTTCGTTATCAATGCCAATCTCTTTAAAGTCTTTAGCTTCCTTCTTATCAAAGCACGGATAAAAACTTGCACTATTGAATTCACCGTTAAAGGACTGAAATTTAAGAAACTCGTACAGTACTTCGATTTTGGATTCTTTAAAGTTGAGCTTGAGTTCATAACCTTTTGTTTTTGATTCTTCGACATTCTCTTCGTTAGGTTCAATGTCAAATGAAACAGACGACCTATAGAGTGAAGCCCCTTCCTTTGAACTCGTGCGATCAATTTCCGATTTCTTGATAGACCTTGCCACTCTCATGAGAGAACTTTTACCAACCAGGTTATAACTTGCTGACATAGCTAATGGAATTCGAATAAATTAAAAAATCGCCTATTTATCTGTTAAGTACATAAAAATATATTCACGTACGTGTTGCATTAAAGCTCCTGGAATGATGTGAAACTACTCGCGACGAACTCTTGTTGACTGAAGAAAATGGTTGGTGTATAGGCACTTCTCTCTTCTCAGGATGAAACAGTTTTCCAACTGACTTATTTCCACATTCATCAATTGCAAGGAAACTAGGCACGGAATGGTCGAAAATAAGTTCAAAATTTCCATTAATTATTAGTAGTGTAAAACTAATTAATGAATGATTACCTAGTGTATTTCGATGCTAAATTAAATGTTATTCCTAAATAAACTACTTGTTCTTCTACAACTAAAACTGAGATTGGCTTTCCTTTGTTCTTTGGATGCTTGTGAATAAAGGAGGCACCGTCCTCTAGATCTTGAATGAGTTTCCTGGCGGCAAGTGTATGAATCTTTGACCCTTGTAACATTACTGAGTCTAAAGGAATGTTAAGTTTCATAGGTCCGTCCGGAGATTGTGCGGTTAACATGATCTCCTTATTTGGGATAACGCCCTTTGCTAGCATGCAATAAACGACAAATCTAACGCCAGAATAAATTGGTGGAATAACAAATGGTGCTTGTTTAGTTTTGGCATCTGTAACTATGGGATCCTGTGGAGGGGGACTAGGATTTTTGTCAAAGATGCTAATTGTTTGTTTTGTCTCTGCCTCTTTCTTATCAAGATCATCGTATTCGGATTCATTCCCCGTCCAGACAATCTTGTAATCCTTAACAGGAGGCTTGATGGCATTCCTTATCATACCAATAATTTTTTTATCCATGCGCTCACTAATGGTTACATGCTGAGCATAACCTTTTCCAGCGCGTGCAACAGATTCGACAAGATTATGAGATACAGAATTGCCAATTCCAATAGAAAACAATCTAAGGTTATCCTTCTTTTGCTCAACATTGGTGCGAATAAGTTCCACCAATGTCTCAACGTTCCAAACTTCACCGTCAGTAAGAAGGAAAACAGATGTTTGCATGTCAAACCTAGAATTTTCGAACGCCCATTTTAGTGGATCATATATTTCTGTGTCACCATAATTGGCGTCCAGGATCGAGAGCACGAGTAAGGGTGACCTCGGAATAAAGTTGACTTTGCGGGAACAATGAATCGTGACGAGAACCAAACGACACCACATTAAAATAGCAGCCTTCTGGAAGAGATCTAAGCAATAATTGAAGAGTTTGGGCTGCTTTTTGAATAGGTTCGCCTTCCATTGACCCTGATCTTAAATTATGTTCAGATAAATTCTTTTATAACGTGTAACATCACATAAAGATTTCTCAAAAGTTTTCTCTACCTATCTATAACAAATATTAATTCTACCAAGGTTTCATTAAGCGCAAATTTGGGAACCAAAGTAAGCATAACACAATTGGTTTCGGTTGTAGAGTTATATTCGACGAACGCTCTATGATAGATAAAAGCATAAGAGTTTTTTACTTAGTCATCGAAAAAAAAAAAACATTTTCTTACACGAGTAATACCTTGGCACATCAAGATCCAAACTTTTAACAACCAATATAAAGTCCTTTTCTAAATAAGTTACATCTTCGGCCAATGTAATCTTTGCAACTTTAGGATCTCCATCAATATTAACTTCAGTAGAAACATGATGTGAAGGAGACTCGATTGCCTGAATGGATGAAGTCATCCTGCATGTTACGTTAAGGTCAAGATGATAACTGGTTGAACTCGAATAAGATATTGATTCTTGGATGGATGTATTGTCACCCTGTGATGAACCATATCTCGGGGCAATGGCGGTAGGTAAGACAAATCGTATTTGTTCAGAATCAGCATCATGTTTGAGTTCTGTGACGTATGTGATTTTGATCACCACAGTCTGGTCAGAGGCGATGTTTCCGACGGTGCATTGGAACACATCGGCAAGTTTTTCCTCCAATAAATAGGCGCCATGACCTTGCTACTTGTATGGAATAGATTCGTTTAATAGCCAGAAGAAATCATTATTGCCATCATGTTAGCAACATACTTTAATGGCTTCTTCATACTCTTTAACAGCTTCTTTAGATTCTTTCACTATTCCCTTGATTGTTCTGCGCCCATCAATCTCAGCTTCGAAACCACAAATTGCTGCGGCCTCGTAAATAGGAAACTTGTATACGGCTTCGATTAAATTATTTTCAACATTTTTATAGGTTTGCTGAATAATAACCTCCGCAATCATGTCAACAACTAGAAAAAATGAATGCATCATCATGTGGCCTATATTTAAACTTTATGTAAAAAGGATATCGTTAGGAAACTCACCATTTGCTTCAACCTTGACATTCTGTAAAGGAACAGGTTTTACCTCTTCGTAAACAAGACCGAATATTTGCATTTTGACGAATTACGTAGCAATCTTTGTGGACGAATATTGTTGTCGTTAAATAGGAAAGGGATTTTCAATTTCGGAACAAAATTTCCGATCATATGACTCCACGTCACACCACTTTGATACAGTATATTTTACTGTAATGAGGAACAACCGATGATTTTTTCTACATATAACTTTCAAATTTGTTATAATTAATCGTTTGCAAGGCTTTGCTATTACTGTAAACTCTAAAGTGCATTTTTACAAATTTTTGACAGTAAGTTTCACAAATAATCTTTATGGTTGTTACGAAAAAATTAATTTACAGTATACAGTAATTGAACGTTATTTCTTTTTTTGTGTTCTCGTTAGTGCCAAAAGGTTTTGTAGATTTTTATCTCACGTTTTGCAGCTTACCGTTTTGTAATGCTAGTTTATATGGTCATATTCATTTTATCGATTACTGTAATTTACATAACGAGAATAGTATATTGATTTTTTTTAAATATACTGTATATTTAATTTAATGCATTATTAATAAAAAATTGGATAATAATGGTAATGTTTTGAATAATTACAATTAGTTTAAAGCAAATTACAAATTTTTTAAAAAATTTAAATAAATTTTAAGATATACTGTAATTGTAATTTCTTGCTACAGGTCAACTCTCGATAATTGTCCCATCGCACAATTATCTAAAATTAGTCTTATTAATTGACGATCGTAGGCATCAAAAACGATACTTTTATATATTACCGTTTTTATTAATCGTGCTGATGATCATCGGATTCCGGGTACCGTGTATTTAGCTATAAAACATCGGTTCTATTTCCGAAAAGATAGAAGCGCTTTTTCAATATTGGTATATTCTATTAAATAACAAGCGCTAAATTTTTATATATAAAAATTACATCATATTTTATTACTAAATTTTAAGTTTTGTAAGTTTATATTATAATACAATCAAATAAAATTATTGGTTTTAATTTAATATATATGATAATATTAGTAAAATAAATAGATAAATAATATAAAATTTTTAAGTTTATTTAAGTTATTTATATTGTAAATAATATTTTTATTAGTAAATATAACAAAAATAAATAAATAATTTATTTAAAAACACTATATATTTAAATTATATAAATTAAGAATTTTCTAATAATATTTAAATTAATTTTATAAAATTAGTTTATAAATAATATCTTTGTATGTTAATAATTTATAAAATAACAATATTACTAAAAATAAAAAAAATATTTATAAAAAAAAAAGAAAATAATAATTTAGAATCGTGGTCACGTGACTTACGCGAAATTTATATAACAATATTATTTTTTTTTTTTTCATCGTAAAAGGGTATCAGATGCAAAACTTTATTAATATATAAGATTATACTCGAGTTACATCAAACATCTTTACATATAGTATTACATAAATTAATGTTAACCTATCTACGATGCTAACTATCGCTATCCTTGGCACACTTAATGTGCTTTAGATTAGTTCAAGTGCTGGATGGTTAATGCCCTTCCAGAGCTGATACAAGTGCTTGTGTTTTAAATGGGTTGCTGTTTGGATCTGTTTGTGGATTCATTGTTTCTATGATTAGTTTTAACAGGGACGACTCCTCCAGTGGGTTCTGTTGTGTGGTAATTCTGTTGTTGCTTGTTGTCACGTGGGGGTGGTTGTTCCATTTAATTCCTGATGCTACTGATGTGTTGGCTGTTGCCGACCTGGGCACCCAGATTAATGTATAGAGCAGTGCTAAGATTTTGTTTGCAAGTTCGGCTTGGCTTTTTGTTGAGAGGTAGAGATCTATTTCTGTTATTCCACATGTGACTTTGTCCAGTCCCGACCTTCTTCCGAAGTTAAGTCTTTGTATTTGATTGTTCATGTCGTCTGGTTTTTTTAATAATTTATTTTTGTTTGAAAGCTTTAATAAGCTTTTCCTAAGTTTCGTTTCGATTTCCTTATAAGCTGGTATACTTTTGTAGCACTCAAAGATATGTGTCTGGGTCTCTGTTTCGGTAAGACATCTGGGGCACAGACTGTCTTCGTATGTATCGGGATATCTTTCGTGAAGGAGATGTCTGGTAGGAAGTGTTCCGCTGATTATTTTTGCTCTGAAGGCTAGTAACGAGGAGCAGTTTACCTTGTCCTTTTTGATGAGGAGCTTGTTTGCTTTTATTAAAGTTTGAAGATTAGATATTTTTATACTGGTGTTCCATC